TTGTTCTTGCATTGGAGAGTTCAGTTTGTAACCTAGGACTTGCTTGTCCTCAGTGCACAGAAATTAGATTAATCTGATACCATGCATATTTTTTAGAAATGATTTGGAAAATATTTGAACACCTTGTCCTAAAATATTTTATTTGTCATGTTAAAATAAAACGTTCCATAATCAATTTCTTTTCTTTTTTATTTTTCCAATTTTTCGGAAAAAAACAAAAAAGGCTTCAGGAAAAAACCAAGGGGGGAACGGGTTTCCCCCCGAATTTTTCCGTTTTTTTTCCCGGGCCTTCACATCTCTAAGCCAGAGGCTAAAAAACTGTGAGCTAGCTCACACTAACTCAGCTTAGAGGGAACATCCCACCACCTGGTGCCAAAATTCCAAAGGTGCCCACAGGCTCAAAGAGGTTGGTGACCCCCCAGGGGCTAGGCGTTTCCCTATGAGCGGGCTGTGCCTACTTCGCCATAAGTGGTTCTCAGACTCTATGAATGGATACCGATAAGCATTCAGTCCTCCTTCCTCCTCTTTTTCGGAACTTTTGTGGCTTGCCCTTAAATCTTCTCTGCTCCGAACTAGCCGCGTCTCCTTCCTCCAGCCTCTTCCACAGCTGTCACTCATTCAAAGCCACCCCCCTCCGCCATCTACCGTTCTCTGAGTCACTTCTGAAACCAGGACACACATTTGAATTGGCATGGCGATGATGCTTGTTGCTGCCGCCTCCCTCCCTCCCGCATCATGACTATCCTACTTTTCGTAACGCAATCCAAAAAACCCTGCCGAGATATAACCACCGGCAGAACTATGTATGACAGGTTTCTGACAGTCAGGTCGGGGTTCCCCCTGACCCGACTTTCATACCATCAGCCGCACAGCATGCTGCTAGGAACTCAATTCCCAAGTGTGGCGGTGGAAACCGCTGTCAAATCGTACCTCAAAAAGGATATCATAGCACTGGAAAAAGTTCAGAAAAGGGCAACTAGGATGATAAAAGGGTTGGAACACTTCCCTATGAAGAAAGGTTAAAGC